TTTTGTCCATTAAAAATAACATCAAATTGATCAGAAATACAGTGTGGACATTTTTTATGTTGTAAATGGTGGTCCTTTGGTGGTTGTACAGTGGGAGATTTGTACAGGGTAAAAGGGATCTTGAAGAAGGAAGGCTATCACTCCATTTTGCAACGCCATGCCATACCCTGTGGACGGCGCTTGATTGGAGCCAATTTCCTCCTACAACAGGACAATGACCCAAAGCACAGCTCCAAACTATGCAATAACTATTTAGGGAAGAAGCAGTCAGCTGGTATTCTGTCTATAATGGAGCGGCCAGCACAGTCACCGGATCTCAACCCTATTGAGCTGTTGTGGGAGCAACTTGACCGTATGGTACGTAAGAAGTGCCCATCAAGCCAATCCAACTCGTGGGAGGTGCTTCAGGAAGCATGGGGTGACATCTCTTCAGATGACCTCAACAAATTGACAATTAGAATGCCAAATGGAGGATTCTTTGACGAAAGCAAAGTTTGAAGGACACAATTATTATTTTAATTAAAAATCATTATTTCTAACCTTGTCAATGACTACATTTCCTATTCAATTTGCTATATTTCCTATTCAAACTCATTTCATGTATGTTTTCGTGGAAAACAAGGACATTTCTAAGTGACCCCAAACTTTTGAATGGTAGTGTATGTATGTATTTGTCACCTCATAAACACGTTTAATAGTATAATAATATATATGCCATTTAGCAGACGATTTTATCCAAAGCGATTTATCATGAACGCTCCCCCCCCTAAAGGCTTCTGGGACCTGAAGTTCCCACTGTGCTTTGATTGGACTGGACTGGCCAGTAGCAGCTTCATCTACTTGACCTTCACACCACCACGTGACGCGACCGCTTCAATTCTGCCCGAATGTAATGTCATCGTACATCTGTGGAGAACAAAAGTAACAACATTAGGAATCTGTAATCGCAACTGTCATTTAAATAGAAGACAATATTCCTTTGGTACTATAGCCAATCCATTTGTCCAGATAGAGCCTTTGCCCAATCCCCCTAGTACTGCAGTTTAAAAAAAATTTATTTAACCTTTATTTATACAAATATAAAATCTATTTTAGAAGAGAGACCAGTGTAGCTGTTAGTATCTCACCTGTTCATCATCAGACAGACACTCCTCCTCATGAATTACAAGCGCGAAGCTCTACCAACTGAGCTACAAACGACCACTTGTTAATCTGGGTTAGAATTCTTAAAGATTATCTCAAAACAAAGTTATCGCCTGTCAGTTTGTTTGGGCACTCTGCAGTGGAGAAAAGCATGGCTGGAAGACACTAATTTGTGATCCTGACTTCCATATTTAGCCACAGGGGGAAGTCAGTGTCTAACACTGGTCCTCTGTAGCTCAGCTGGTAGAGCACGGCGCTTGTAACGCCAAGGTAGTGGGTTCGATCCCCGGGACCACCCATACACAAAAAATGTATGCACGCATGACTGTAAGTCGCTTTGGATAAAAGCGTCTGCTAAAAGGCATATTATTATTATTATATTATTAACACATCAGGGAAACAACAATTGCCACCAAAAGAGTTCAATAAATGATCCTCCTAGATCCCTATTACTTACTGTAACTGTTTCCCTGCATGTATCTATTCCATTATTACTGGTCTAGAACTTGTAGTAAAACCCCAGATTATGTAAAAGTATTGACACATTTCAAATACGCTTTCAAAGAAATCGCCTTGCATTTTTACAAGAGTTTTCCCCCCCATCAATTCTGACCTAATGCTGCTCATTCGTGATATTATTTGATCTTGTATAGGGTAATGATATACATTCGACTCCTGATGAATAATGATTCTCCCAGATCATCCTACTCTGATGTTAACCACTGTCTGTCCACAATGTAATGATGGTGTTCCTTTGCTACTGGTCTGTAGCATGCCTTGCACAGTAGTAAACTCCCATCCAGCTGGTGGCGCTATTGTGCGTTTCTGGGTTCGTCACCATTCTAGAACCAAGGAGTTTTCTACAATTCTTTTGAGTAGAACACGGGATGGTCGATTGACTGGGGTTTTAAATTGACAGTGGCAAGTCTTGCTGTATGTTCAGAAAGTTGCTGATAATATACAGTTGTTTCTGTATGGACCGCCTATGGGGAAGGTTTCTGAGTACTTTTTATTTTGTTCTATGGTTCAATGAGCGATAGACATGAAAAGATAATGTCATAAATGTTGAAACATGGTGTAAGAAGGTGGTGAATCTTATACGCTCGGTCTCTGGTTATGAATGGGGTGCTGACAGACAATCGTTGTTGGATATTTATAGAGCTCTGATCAGGACGATAATTGATTACGGGTGTATAGTTTATTGAACAGCGGCGAAAACTTGGCTTCAGAGGCAGGACAGAATCCAGTATATAGCTTTAAGGATATGTATTGGTGCATTTAAATCAACATCTGTATGTGCCTTACTAGTGGATGCAGGTGAGATGCCTTTGGATATATAAATAGTCATTCGCTTATTGGGTTAGGTTGAAAGGCTGTGAGGTTGACCATCCCACTGCTACTGTTCTAGATGACTGTTGGGAATATACTAGTAGACAAGGCAATGGTTTTGGTTGGACAGTTGGAAAGCTTGCTGATGAGAGTGGTTTGAGGGAGTTGGAGGTTGTCCCTACTGTGGTGATAGTAGATGTTCCTCCGTGGTTACTCCCAGATCCTGTTGTTGATCTAACCTTGGTGGAGAAAATGAAAGATTGGTCAGAAGTCAGTGATATAGTGAAACTGGTTGACAATTACATTGGTAGAAGTTTATATGCATTTTTACCGCTTTTCACAGATGGATCCAAGTACCCAGATAGTGGACCCACAGGAGCATGCGTTTTGTTCCTGAATTTGAATATTCTTGCAGATATGTAGAAGACTAACAGATTAACTGTCAGTTGAACTGTTGGCGATAGTAGTTGCCCACCAGTGTGTGGAGGACGTACAACCTCTCAGAATTATAGTATGCCAGTGGCGACGTGTAATTCAGGGCAGGTGGGCAGAGTATCTACCAATTGGATATCCCGGAAAAGGGGGTAACGCCATGGGCCAGAAAATGTTGAATACATTGGCCATGCTGTCAATCCAGCATGACTTCTGCCACGTTCAAAACAACTGGAAACTCGGAAACTGGGAAATGTCAGACTTCAGTGGGTTCAAGACAACTGGGAACTCTGAGAAAATTAGCTCATACTGGGAAAATACAAATAATAATTTTGAACTGTCATCCAACTTGGATTCCAAGTTGGGATTTCGGGCCTCTTTCTAGAGCCCACAAGATGGACTGCCGGGCCACCTTCCTGTTCAAGTGAGCACAACAAGGTGGATCCAAAAATGTATTGTATACTGCTGCATAAATGATGTAATATGCCAGGGAGATATGTATACTATAGCTAAGAAAGTAATACTAAGTGTATGTTGTGTAGTAAGCTGTTAGTAGCCCATGTGCCTCACCCTAATCATTTGGTCCCTTTCCCCCTCATAACTTAGCCTACTGTTCTGATTTTGTGGTGCACATGTAGCCTATAGCCTGTTTTAGAGAAATGTAATCATCAAATATTGTAATAGCTTTCATTGTCTGCTTTTATGCCCCATTTATTTATCCTACGGTTCTGATTTGGTGTACAGGGAGAATACTGTAAGAACGGCCCATGTTCTGAATTCTGTTGTTGTACATTTCAAAAGTGCTGAACAAATAGTTATATTGACTACGTCCGTCCTAGATCGCTCATGAATGTCTTAATCGAAATTACGGATTGCCTCTTATCCGCTCGTCGTCCCCTTATGCCATAGTTTGTACATCTCAATTGTCAGTAGAAACCACATTTGTTTAAGCAAGTCAGCCAAATCAGCTATGTTTTTTAAAAAGGCAGTAAATGAGGCTGAATGAACTGTTTCGCTGCCAGACAAGGCCCCCGCTGATAGCCAGGTGTAGCAGTGGTAAGGATTCACTCCATGGTGCTGAAAAGAAAGCTCTGCTGTTGGGACAGCTTTATGGAGGCCCTAACAGTTTGTGGGCACCATTTGTCACCGTTATAGTGCTATTAATGTATTGTTTAGTGTTGTGTTGTGTTGTGTTGTGTAGTGGCTTTGCTGGCATGCATCAAAAAATAAATAATTTTGTTTGCCCCACCAAGATTTACATGATAAAATCGCCACTGAATGCTCAGATTCCCTGTCTGTATTGAATAGTTTATTATCTGGCAAATCTAATAGGAGTAACCTACTATTATTGGAGGTATTAATGTTATTATGGAGAATTGAGAGACTGGGTGTAGTAGTGAGATTCTGCTGGGTCCCAGCACATTCAGTGTGGAAGGGAATGAAATTGTAGACCAGATAGCCAAAATAGCTTTAAAACGAGATATAATGTATATTAATGTTCCACTGGGTGGCAGAAGACATGGGACTGAGCCCAAGGGCCGGCATTTATATGCCTTCCAAAGAAAGGTTGGCGGACCAAGATTCAAAGGTCAGATTAGGAAGGAAGAGGTGGTGTTTGCTAGATTGCGCCCAGGACATTAAACTCGTCATTACATCTGGTTGACAGTGTCTGGAGGGTACGGTCGATGAAACGGTGGAGCATGTGTTGTTATATTGTTGTAAGTATGTTGAAGAGTGGGAAAGATTGAAGTGTAGGGTCATTGAGGTTGGACGGGGTTGGAAGGGATTTGGGGGATGGGGGAGGGTCTATTAGAAGTTAGTAGGGCTCTTCTTTATTTTCTCAGAAGTACTGAGTTAGGAAGGAGGAGTTAGAAATGTGGAGCTAATGTTGTAAACCGTGATTGACCTCACACTCCAGCACAGTAGGTGGCGGCGTGCACCTTTAACGTTTGTTTGTTGACCAACATTATATCATAGAAGAAGAAGAGTAAAACACGGAAGTAGAATTGGAAACGAGTTTGTTTTAATTTTTTGTGGAGTAAAGAAAGCATACTGACTGAACTAAATAGGTTACCAAACTCCCAGTCGTCTGAAATATGTCTAAACTACAGTTGTTTCATGTGTTTTTAAATGAGCGTTTAACGGAGGCTGCTGTGGAGATTTTCTGGGCAGTTGAGAAAACTTTTGTGGAGTACCAGGAAGAGAATGGTCGGCTACGGAGACTGCTGCGGATCAGACCGGAGATAAAACTGTGTAGAATAGGTTCGTATGAAGTTTTACTTATAGCTAACTATAGTTGTACTAAATTAATAAACTGTTTAGGTGATCACCGTTTTAAAGTGTACATTTACAGTTGTCTTTGTCACGAAAAGCTGATTGAAATAGTGTAATGTACAGTTATGTGCACTCAGTTACGTCTAAAGCTAGCTCTCGAAAACTCTAGTTGAGAATTAAATGTACGACGCTTTGAATGGACCCAAACTACAACCGCGTCAGCGCTCAAACTCTAGAATGCGGCATTCTGACTTCTCCCTACTATTTTCTGCGGTTAGCTCCGCCCACGACTGGCTCATGGGAACTACAATCCCGACGCAGGGTTTTTAACGTCACTAATCATCGCTTGCGACGCTGCTTTCGAAATATATGGCCCTTATCTTTCATCGGCGAGAAAGAATCCTTCAAAAAAAAAAAAAAAAAAGATACACTTAATGTAGCAGTTTTTGCACAGATCCATACACCTATGGGTTCCTCCATCCGACTAAACTAGACTTAACGTTACACTACGGCTCCCGAGTTATGCTTACGAGCATGCAAATTAGCACAGGTGGTCGCCTCTTGTCTTCCGTCTGTTTTGCCTGAACAAGCGCTGTAACATGGAGATATGGCCATGCGGGAACACTAACCCTAACCCAGTCCTTCTCAAATAGTGGGGCGCGCCCCCCTGGGGGGGCTCGGAGCGATGCCGGGGGGGGCGCGTGTGACCCCGGGGAACATGCTTTTTTTTGCCGCAGGGAGTAGTTTTTTTTTGCACCGAACAAAAGCACAGAGTAGGAGATATGAAGTGCAGATAACAAACCCTTAAGAGACACCATGGAAACATACCTAACAGGGATGAAAAGAAAGACGGAGATAATGAGACAAACGTAAGTCTCCCGAAAGCTAAGACGAGGAAATATGACGAAGCGTATGTAGCGCTTGGCTTCACTGTGACTACGGTGGGAGAAGAGGGAAAGACCGGTATGTTTACTGTGTCTAAAAATGTTGGTAGTGGACAGCACGAAGCCAAATAAATTAAGGCGTCACTTAAAGACATTACACCCCAATCACGCTGATAAGCCGCTTGAGTTTTTTCAGCGAAAACGTGCCGAATATTGCCAACAATCTTCCCGCTTTGTGAATGCTACTTCAGGAAACCAGCGAGCACTGTTAGCATCATATAAGGTGGCGTACCAAATTGCTCAGTGCAACAAAAAAAACAATCCATAGCAGAGGAGCTGATACTGCCTGCAGCATTAGACATGGTCTCTGTCATGCTGGATGACGCAAGTGCTGCAAAAAAAAAAACGATCCCTCTGTCCAATGACACCGTCGCCAGACGTATAAATGACATTGCTAACGATCTTAAAGAACTGCTGGTAGATAAACTCAAAGACAAACGTGCCTTTTGCCATTAATGCTGACTTCCTCATTTTGCTAAAAAAAAATCAGCACAAATGGTTTTATTCATTTTTGTTTTATAGGTCAGTGTTTCATATATTGGGTTCATGAGTTCATGTTGCTGATCAATTTGAATGTATTATTATTTATTGATTATATTTTATTTTATTTTTCAGTATCAAATGGTCAACATTTTTTTACAGTTTAAATGAGGCAAATTTCAGGCAAATTGATGCACTTGAAGTCTTTTCTGTTACAGACTAAAAAACAATGTTAATAAAGTTATTCTTTGTTGTAAGTTGATCTATATTTCTTTATTTTCTTTCTTTAATGTTAATAAGGATACAATGTTATGCAGAGGTGTACTTAGAACAATTTCATAGACAAATGATACTATTTCCAGTTGCGGCGGAGAGTTGGGGGGCGCGAAATGTTTACTTCTTCCTAGGGGGGGCGCAACAGAAAATAATTGAGAAGCACTGCCCTAACCTAAAGCAGTTGTCGTGTATGAATGGGGTACCCTTTGATCATGAATCCCAGATCCATGACATTACGCACAAGATAAGTCACTTAAAAAGACTGCTGGCTGCAACTGTGTTAAAACCGCTTAAAACAGTCTACAGTAATTTGTTTAATCTGCGTTTGTGATATGAAAGTATAGGGATTCCTGTTTCTAGCCCATCTAGAGTGCGACGGTGTAACTGGGGAGGAAGTGTAGTTGGTCGGCCAAAGGCCATATGGATCTCTGCCAAACTGCCACAGTAAGGGTATCATTATTTTATTTATTTTGCGATTCTTTCTCGCTGATATATAAAAGATAAGTCCATATGTTTCCCAAAAACGTATCGCAAGTGAGGCGTATTTTGCTTTTAGAGCGTCAGGATTAAACGGAGCGTCCGGATTGTACATCACGAGGGAGCCAACTGTGATCATGTGCAGCAGTCATATGCAGACCAGCTGGCTGGAGTGTTTTACGGACATATTCAATCTCTACATATCCCAGTCTGTTGTCCCCACTTGCTTCAAGATGTCCACCATTGTTCCTGTACCCAAGAAAGCAAAGGTAACTGAACTAAATGACTATCACCCCGTAGCACTCACTTCTGTCATCATGAAGTGCTTTGGGAGGCTAGTTAAGGATCATATCACCTCCACCTTACCCGACACCCTAGACCCACTACAATTTGCGTACCGCCCCAACAGATCCACGGATGACGCAATCGCCATCGCACTGCACACTGCCCTATCCCACCTGGACAAGAGAAATACCTATGTAAGAATGCTGTTCATCGACTACACCTCAGCCTTCAACACCATAGTGCCCTCCAAGCTCATCACTAAGCTCAGGGCCCTGGGTCTGAACCCCTCCCTGTGCAACTGGGTCCTGGACTTCCTGACGGGCCGCCCCCAGGTGGTGAAGGTAGGCAACAACACCTCTGCCACACTGATCCTCAACACGAGGGTGCCACAGGGGTGCATGCTCAGCCCCCTCCTGTACTCCCTGTTCAACCATGACTGCGTGACCACAAATGTCTTCAACTCAATCATTTTAAGTTTGCTGACGACACACAACAGTGGTTGGCCTGATTACCAACAATGGCGAGACAGCCTACAGGGAGAAGGTGAGGGCCCTGGTGCAGTGGTGCCATGAAAATAACCCCTCCCTCAACGTCAACAAAACGAAGGAGCTGATCGTAGACTATAGGAGACAGCAGAGAGAGCACGCCTCCATCCACATCGACGGGGCCGCATTGGACATGGTCAAAGCCTCAAGTTTCTAGGCGTGACATCACTGACGACCTGAAATGGTTCCTTCACACAGACAGTGTGGTGAAGAAGGCGCAACAGCACCTCTTCAACCTCAGGAGGCTAAAGAAATTTGGCTTGGCCCCTAAGACCCTCACAAACTTCTACAGATGCACCATTGAGAGCATCCTGTCAGGCTGTATCACCGCCTGGTATAGCAATTGCACCATCCGCAACCGCAGGGCTCTTCAGAGGGTGGTTCGGTCAGCCCAACGCATCTCCGGGGTCACACTGCCTGCCCTCCAGGACATCTACAGCACCCGGTGTCACAGGAAGGCCAAGAAAATCATCAAGGACCTCAGCCACCCGAGCCACGGCCTGTTCACCCCGCTACCATCTAGAAGGCGGACACCGTACAGGTGCATCAAAGCTGGGACCGAGGGACTGAAAAACAGCTTCTATCTCCAGGCCATCAGACTGTTGAATAGTCCCCGGCCTCCGTCCACTACCCGGCCCTGTCGCTGTTCTAGCTGGCGCTAGGCCTTATGGACATAGACATTGAACACTGATCACTTAAATAATGTTGACTGTTTATATGTACACTGACCAAAAATATAAATGCAACCATTTCAAAGATTTTACTGAGTTAGTTCATATAAGGAAATCAGTCAATTGAAATAAATTCATTAGACTCTAATCTATAGATTTCATATGACTGGGAATACAGATAAGCATCTGTTGGTCACAGATACCTTTTTTATATATTTTTTATTAGGGGCATGGATCAGAAAACCAGTCAGTATCTGGTGTGACCACCATTTGCCTCATGCGGCGCGGCACATCTCCTTCGCATAGAGTTGATCAGGCTGTTGATTGTGGCCTGTTGAATGTTGGACCACTCCTCTTCAATGGCTGTGCGAAGTTGCTGGATATTGGCGGTAACTGGAACACGCTGTCGTACACGTCGATCCAGAGCATCCCAAACATGCTTAATGGGTGACATGTCTGGTGAGTATGCAGGCCATGGAAGAACTTGGACATTTCCAGATTCCGTGAATTGTGCACAGATCCTTGTGACATGGGGCTGTGCATTATCATGCTGAAACATGAGGTGATGGTGGCAGATGAATGACACGACAATGGGCCTCAGGATCTCATCACGGTATCGCTGTGCATTCAAATTGCCATCGATAAAATGCAATTGTGTTCGTTGTCCGTAGTTTATGCCTGCCCATACCATAACCCCACTGCCAACATGGGGGACTCTGTTCACAACGCTGACATCACCAAACCGCTCACCCACACTATGCCATCTGCACGGTACAGTTGAAACCGGAATTCATCCGTGAAGAGCACACTTCTCCAGCGTGCCAGTGGCCATCGAAGGTGAGCATTTGCCCAGTGAAGTCGATTACGATGCCGAACAGCAGTCAGGTCAAGACCCTGGTGAGGACGACGAGCACGCAGATGAGATTCCCTGGGACGGTTTCTGACAGTTTGTGCAGAAATTCTTCAGTTGTGCAAACCCATAGATTCATCAGATGTCCGGGTGGCTGGTCTCAGACGATCCCACGGGTGAAGAAGCCAGATGTGGAGGTCCTGGGCTGGCTTGGTTACACGTGGTCTGCGGTTGTGACGCCGGTTGGACGTACTGCCATATTCTCTAAAATGACATTGGAGGCGTCTTATGGTAGAGAAATGAACATTTAAATTATCTGGCAACAGCTCTGGTGGACATTCCTGCAGTCAGCAGGCCAACTGCACGCTTCCTCAAAACTTGAAACATCTGCGTCATTGTGTTGTGTGACAAAACTGCACATTTTAGAGTGGCCTTTTATTGTCCCCAGAACAAGGAGCACCTGTGTAATGATCATGCTGTTTAATCAGCTTCTTTGTATGCCACATCTGTCAGGTGGATGGATTATCTTGGCAAAGGAGAAATGCTCACTAACAGGGATGTAAACAAATTTGTGCACAGAATTTGAGAGAAATACGCTTTTTGTGCGTATGGAAAATGTATTGGATATTTTATTTCAGCTCATAAAACATGGGATCAACACTTTACATGTTGCGTTTTTATATTTTTGTTCAGCATAGATAACATATCCTTCTCCTCTCCTTCCCTCCAGGCTCCTTGCAGCGCTTTCTCTCTGTCTCTGAAGAGGTTTCCTGTATGAAAAGTGAATGTGATCAGAAGGACCCATGTCAAGAAGCCATACTAGCTGAATGCCCAACTCTCAGTCCACTGAAAACGTCTAAACTACAGTCGTTGCATGTGTTTTTAAATGAGCGTTTAACGGCGGCTGCTGTGGAGATTTTCGGGGCAGTTGAGAAAACGGTAGTGGAGTACCAGGAGGAGAATGATCGGCTACGGAGACTACTGCGGATCACACCAGAGATAAAACTATGTCGAATAGGTTTGTACAGTTCTACTCAATTAATAAACTGTTTACCATTTCAACAATTTGAAGATGTTTTTTCATTATTTTACCGTGAATGGATAGAAGTAGCACTGACATGCCAATGCTTTCCCTTACTTGGACAACAGCGTCACACATTTTTCCATTGAATGTTGAATACATTATTATTTTACTTACCCTGCCAATTTTACGGAAAGTTGGTCCTTCTGTTGCCCTTCAGACTCCAGTGCTCCGTTGGAGTTATTAAACGTCCATTTTGATTAGCTGAGGACGATGATTTGGTCAAGTGTGAAACGCTCTTTCTAGGTTTTGGAAAACCTTGGAACACAATTTAATAATTTTCCTAAATAACTTTACAACCAAAAGATGCACTTACTGTGCTCCGTTTTAACACAGATTTCCAGAGCCGATATTTTGTTTATGTTCCCCCCCCCCTTGTTTCCATTGGGTCAGGAAGTGTCATAGTTCAGGTAAAACAGTCCACAGAAAGTGTGTCTTTTGCGATTGTTCAATTATTTTGTGATGATCTGAACGTAAAGTTCTAAGGTTTCATAAAACTGTTGTGCAAACAAGGATTATTCACGGTTATACAGAATGTTGGCAGGACTTTTGTGCACATTGGCAGTGGTGCCATGAATGAGAGCAAAAACCCAGGTATCTGCATGTTTAAGGGCTATATAGATCATAGAGATCTATGATTCATGTGTATGATTCAAGTGTTCTATTCAATTCTGTGCTATATAGATAACCTCTGCTCCTCCTCTCCTTCCCTCCAGACTCCCTGCAGCTCTCTGTCTCTGAAGAGGAGGTTCCCCCTGAGCAGCAGCACTGTGAGCAGGAGTGGAGCCCCAGTCTGGGGCAGGAGGACCCAGAGCTCATACAGATGAAAGAGGAACTCAGGACCAGTCAGGAGGAAGAGCAGCTTCAAGGGCTCTTTGATACCAAAGACTTCAAATTCATTCCTTCAGGTGTGAAAAGTGAATGGGATCAGAAGGACCCACTTTGGTCCTTGACTCTTCCCCAAACTCAGACTGTGGAGAACAGAGAGAGTGACTCTAAACCAGTGGATCTCAAACCTTTTGGCACTGTGACCCACCTAAAGGGTCTTGACATTCCCTGTGACCCTCCAGATAATCAGAACAATGCCTCCAGCCACAGCTCAGCCATAAGCAGTGACCCAGTAGAACTTGACAGCAGCCCACCATTGGATCCCAGCCCACCATTGGATCCCAGCCCACCATTGGATCCCAACCCACCATTGGATCCCAACCCACCATTGGATCCCAACCCACCATTGGATCCCAGCCCACCATTGGATCCCAGCCCACCATTGGATCCCAGCCCACCATTGAAGAAACACTGTTCCAAACCCAGCACCACGTCTAGAAAAACTCACCGCTGCCATAACTGTGGTGATACGTTTGCTCTGATAGCTGATCTGCAGTGGCATGTGACTCTTGCCAAGAACAGACCCAGCGAATGCCGTTACAACTCCACCAAAACGTTACATCTCCACCTGTAAACGGAAGGCCCATGTCCGACTCTGCCACAGTGGGAAACCCTGCACCTGCCCTGTTTGTTGCAAGACCTTCAAATACAAATAAGTTCTGTCCAGGCACACAGGAGAGAAATCATTTAGCTTTGGTGACTGTGGGAAAAGCTTCAGCGTTAAGGGGAACCTTACCATGCATAAACAGACTCACACAGGGGGGGGAAAAAACATTTAGCTGTGGTGACTGTGGGAAAAGCTTCTATCAGAAGGGGAACCTAACGGCTCACAAAATGATTCACACAGGAGAGAAACAACATGGCTGCTCAGTCTGTGGTAAAAGATTCACTCAGAAGGCTCGTCTGCTGAAGCATATAGATAATATCCACAAGGAAAGGAAACGGGTTGAAAACGGATACAATAAAGAGAATTAGGACAACGAGATCTTATGTAAGAAGATGGGAATTAAAAGGCAGGATGTCGACCTCAGTCTTTAGGAAAGAAACTTGACCAGATAAACAGATATATTGGCACTTTTCTTAAATAATTCTCTATTTCTTCTAAAATAAGTTCAAATTGAAAGGAACTTTTGGTCTAAACACCTTAGTGGATTTTCAACATCCTAGTAGAACCAATTTAATATTTCTAAAATAAAGTTTACTATTTTTTTTTTGACAAAAGGCATGTTTCACTATAACTAAGCCTACAACATTTTTTATTTATTTTTTACTCATTAAACAGTGAAACTCACAGGTCGTCCTTCATTAGAAACAGGAAGCCCTGATGGTTTGTCTTGTAATGTCTCTCAGGTGATGAACAAATGATCAGACTGTTATTGATACATTAAAACATGTATACTTTCTAGGAAATATCTCTTCCCATCTGTCCAAGAGTGTCTCTCATTCATTTTCATGTAATACTGCTCATTAATTATATTAATATTTCAGGAAGTAATGATATACAGACGACTCCTGCCTGATAAGTGCATTTCGTATATAAGTGCAAACTGTGTTTTAAGTGAACTACAGATATATTTTTTCAGTCCCAATTCAATAACATTCTTTGTAATATCTCCTGTAACAGCATTCTCTAGTTATTGTGCACGCTGCTAGCTCACTTGAGTGGCGCAGGGTCCTCCTGAGTGGCGCAGTGGTCTAAGGCGCTGCATCGAGCATGTTTAGCTCTTAACATTTTGAATGCCGGTTGTAGGTTCGATCCACTGGGGGCCAGTTGAACGTTTTATAAAATATGCACTACGCCATCGCTCTATAAACCTGAAACAAAATAAATGTATTGTCAACTCACATGTTCGCCGTTCGAAGTTGTGGACAATTGCCGTGTAAATGTTTGTTGTTTCGATTCAGTTGCGGAAAGTACCTATTCAACGTTTCGCTGATTGATTTTTTTTAACATTATTCACTGGTGACCTGTATAATCGTCACTGGGCACTGTGATGTGTTTATGGTCGCCTCGTCAACAAGAAGATCAATGAATGCAGCAATGTCGTGTTTTCTTGCAGTGGCTACTTCGAAAACGATGTCGCGGGTGAAAATGTATTGATCGTTGATTGCGGGTGGCGGCACCGCGGCCGCCATTTCATTTTTATGTATTTTTTTTTATAAATACATGTATTTCACTGTGACCTGCTGACTATCAAGCAGGAAGCAGGCTGTTTGTGAGTGAGTGAGTGATTGAATGGTGGGGAGGGCCAGAGGGGTGTGTGTGCGTTGAGAGCACAGAGAGTCCGAGGCAGCTGAATCACAGAAACAGAGCAGCACACGTCGTGATAACTTTTTTTTTTACCATGGAGACACCCTTTTTCCATAAAATATTATTAACGCGCTAGAACTGATATAACGGCGACAAAGCATTGGAAAACGACTTAAGGCGCACTAGAGCGCTTTAGATAAATTCGCTCAGAGGTGGTTTAAAGTAAACTGCATTCTAATGCCGACGTTTCTTATGGAAACTACTTTTCTTATGGATAACCCTATCAAGCGAAGGGTTTTACTCATGCTCAGTTCTAGGGTAACTACTTTTCTTATGGATAACCCTATCAAGCGAAGGGTTTTACTCATGCTCAGTTCTAGGGTAACTACTTTTCTTATGGATAACAGTATCAAGCGAAGGGTTTTACTCATGCTCAGTTCTAGGGTAACTACTTTTCTTATGGATAACCCTATCAAGCGAAGGGTTTTACTCATGCTCAGTTCTAGGGTAACTACTTTTCTTATGGATAACCCTATCAAGCGAAGGGTTTTACTCATGCTCAGTTCTAGGGTAACTACTTTTCTTATGGATAACACTATCAAGCGAAGGGTTTTTACTCATGCTCAGTTCTAGGGTAACTACTTTTCTTATGGATAACCCTATCAAGCGAAGGGTTTTACTCATGCTCAGTTCTAGGGTAACTACTTTTCTTATGGATAACCCTATCAAGCGAAGGGTTTTACTCATGCTCAGTTCTAGGGTAACTACTTTTCTTATGGATAACCCTATCAAGCGAAGGGTTTTACTCATGCTCAGTTCTAGGGTAACTACTTTTCTTATGGATAACCCTATCAAGCGAAGGGTTTTACTCATGCTCAGTTCTAGGGTAACTACTTTTCTTATGGATAACCCTTTTATTTTTTTTTATTTCACCTTTATTTAACCAGGTAAGCCAGTTGAGAACAAGTTCTCATTTACAACTGCGACCTGGCCAAGATAAAGCAAAGTAGTGCAATAAAAACAACAGAGTTACATATGGGGTAAAAAAAACATAAAGTCAGAAAATACAACAGAAAATATATATACAGTGTGTGCAAATGTAGCAAGTTATGGAGGTAAGGCAATAAATAGGCTATAGTGCAGAATAATTACAATAGTATTAACACTGGAATGCTAGATGTGCAAGAGATTATGTGCAAATAGAGATACTGGGGTGCAAAAGAGCAAAATAAATAATATAGGGATGAGGTAGTTGGGTGGGCTAATTTCGGATGGGCTGTGTACAGGTGCAGTGATCGGTAAGGTGCTCTGACAACTGATGCTTAAAGTTATTAAGGGAGATAAGAGTCTCCAGCTTCAGAGATTTTTGCAATTCGTTCCAGTCATTGGCAGCAGAGAACTGGAAGGAATGGCGGCCAAAGGAGGTGTTGGCTTTGGGAATGACCAGTGAGATATACCTGCTGGAGCGCAGACTACGGGTGGGTGCTGCTATGGTGACCAATGAGCTAAGATAAGGCGGGGATTTGCCTAGCAGTGATTTATAGATGGCCTGGAGCCAGTGGGTTTGACGACGAACATGTAGTGAGGACCAGCCAACAAGAGCGTACAGGTCACAGTGGTGGGTAGTGTATGGGGCTTTGGAGACAAAACGGATGGCACTGTGATAGACTACATCCAATTTGCTGAGTAGAGTGTTGGAGGCTATTTTGTAAATTACATCGCCGAAGTCAAGGATCGGTAGGATAGTCAGTTTTACGAGGGCATGTTTGGCAGCATGAGTGAAGGAGGCTTTATTGC